TAGGACGCGTCACTGCACCACCAAGCCCCCAGGAAGTGCGCCGGACTCTGAGGAAAATATTCCTTGTGGCCAAACGGCGGTACTACACTTCCGTATCAGTCGCTGGGCCCGGAAAGACTTTTTCCCATTGACTAACATTGGGAAAGAGACGTCTGTAAATCGTTGGATCTTTTTTTTTAAGCTAAATAAACTACCCAGTATGAACACTTGTATAGCCCTTATTAAAAACATTCGGTCCTCAAGTTGTAAAATGTGCTAATAACGTTATTCTGAGAGTTATTTTCCTCGGCATTATGAACACGGATCCAACCCACGGGACCGCGCCGCCCGGCACGTTCATGTGACGTGTTCAGTACTACATGAGTTTTACCTTTACCCATGGATGCACAATAAGAACGGATTATATGATCATGTGAATACTTTCGTGGCGTTCCACTCTCTCAAAAGTTGGGCCATTTTGTCTTCATGCGCCAATGAGCAACTCTCATAGGAATGAACGAGGCCCCGCCTCCCACGCTGTATCCAGTTCTTATTATACATCTATGTGCACCACTCTATAGAGGAAATAAAAGTTGTTGCCAAGTGGGCCAGACGTCTGCAGCCTGCTCGCTGCTCTGCTGCTGCCATGGTTTGAAAGCAGGCCAGCAGGTGACTTATGAAAGACATCTGTTGTATATTCAGAAACATCTGAGCTGTAGCCCTTTGGGACACACAATAACTGCAGCTCCTGCAGAGCTTATTGTTATTATTATTTATTTGTGTATTCTGTACATGTAACTGCAACAGAAAACGATTAAATGACAGTGTACTCAGAGCAGTCCCCTGCACATGGACTGATCTAATTAGTTTTGCTCAAATATGTTTATAAAAAATGTCATTTTAGTATTTCAAGTCACTTTTGATTTTATCAATATTTATCTCTAACCATGATTTCCCATAAACTTAAAAAAGCTTCATTGATGATATGGCAAAATGAAAAACATAAATGATGATATGACCGCGCAGCTGAGGACCTGATTCCTGAAAACGCATATCAGAAACATATTTAACATCGTGCTCCCTGACAGGGAAAGACTGACCACAGCTGTATCTGCTAGAAAGGAGTTCAATCTCCTGCAAGTCGTCAGCCTTCTCTTCATACCAACAACTAATTACAGCAAGATGAAGACAGTAATCTAAAGCTATGCTTATGCTTTATAGTAAGAGCCCAGCAGATACAGATCCAATGTGACATTTAAATAACTGACATAAATATACTGATGTTAAAACAAGTACAGCTTAATTGAACATTACATTCCTGAAGCCCCCTATTGGTCAAAGCTAACTAACCACATGTGACAACTCAACTACTGTATCTTTAGTACAGCTATGAAGAAGTTGTACTTGTGTGTTAGACTATTTCTACTACTATACATTTTAGGTGAGGAAATAAGGAAATATTGTTATTTTTATCTGTAACACTTTTAAATAATAGATATTACTACTTTTAACATTTTCTTATAAAACATTTACCACATAAACCGTGCTGCTTTCAGTCATACAGTATGTCACAGTCTTTAGCAGAAGATAGAACATTGTTAAAGATGGAATCAGTGTTCCAAAGATTTTGGTTAGTTACCTCTTACCCCTAGATTCCACCGGGTCCGTCTGTGCCGCGTTGCGGTTTTGGTCCGGCCTCCTCCGGCGTCATACCCTACCAGGCGCGTTTCAGAAGCATTTCAGAAGCGGAGCGTCTTGCCTGCCGGCTCGCAGTTTTTGTTGATTTGGGCATATTTCCTGGACAGGCTACTTTGTACAGACAAAGTTAATAATAACTGTAATATTCCAGTTATAAACGACATGAATCAAAGATGTGTTGCTGTATTTTAGTGGTAAAAAAATGCATTCATCATCATAATTATTCTATATATATATAATTTACACAGTGCCTGTAAACCGGAGGAGAACGCTGGCATTTCTCCTCCTACTTGAAAGACTACGGAGGGATAGGGTCTGCAAAATTAGTTTGTGTGTGTGTATATATCTATATATATATATGCTATATATGCTCTGAAAGTTCCACTTCCTGCCTGCCCGACCTTACGTTACGGCTGCGCCGCGACAAAAATAGGATTCGATCCTAATTTTAGAGGAGCCCTGCGCCGAGCCGCTTCTGGGACGCTTCTGAGCCGTAACGCGCCGCGTGTGGTGGAATAGCACCCATTGACTTGAGTAGCCGCGATCGCCGTGAGCACCGCGGCGCAGCCGTAACGCGCCCGTAACGCGCCGCAGACGGACCCGGTGGAATCTAGGGGTTACGAAACACAGAGTTTCACAGTTCGCTTGTTCTCGCTGTATTTGTTTCGCCGACACGGAAGCCTGTCTACTCCTCACAGCAGCTCCTCACTGCTCTTGAGGCTTACCCCTAGATTCCACCGGATCCGTCTGCGGCGCGTTACGGCCGCGCCGCGGCGCTCACGGCGATCGCGGCCACTCTAGTCAATGGGTGCTATTCCACCACACACGGCGCGTTACGGCTCAGAAGCGTCCCAGAAGCGTCCCAGAAGCGGCTCGGCGCAGGGCTCCTCTAAAATTAGGATGAATCCTATTTTTGACGTGACGCAGCCGTAACGTTATGTCGGGCAGGCAGGAAGTGGAACGTTCAGAGCATATATAGCATATATATATACACACACACAAACTAATTTTGCAGACCCTATCCCTCCGTAGTCTTTCAAGTAGGAGGAGAAATGCCAGCGTTCTCCTCCGGTTTACAGACACTGTGTAAATTATATATATTACATTTCATTTAGCTGACGCTTTTATCCAAAGCGACTTACAATGACCAATTACAGGGACATTCTCCCTGGAGTAACTAAGGGCTAAGTGCCTTACTCAAGGGCACACTAGTGGTGGTGTTCCTGGCGGGATTTGAACTGACAACCTTCCGATCTTCAGCCCACCTCACTATCCATTAGACCACCACTATCCATATAAAGAATAATTATGATGATGAATACATTTTTTTACCACTAAAATACAGCAACACATCTTTGATTAATGTCGTTTATAACTGGAATATTACAGTTATTATTAACTTTGTCTGTACAAAGTAGCCTGTCCAGGAAATATGCCCAAATCAACAAAAACTGCGAGCCGGCAGGCAAGACGCTCCGCTTCTGAAATGCTTCTGAAACGCGCCTGGTAGGGTATGACGCCGGAGGAGGCCGGACCAAAACCGCGGCCGTAATGCGGCGGAATCTAGGGGTTACAGCCTCACGAGCAGCTGCACGTCGCGTGACCAATCAGAGCACACTGGGCTCACAGGGAGGGGGGGGCAGGAGCTCCAACAAGCCGTTTAGGACAGAGAGTGAATACCGGTGAATACACACACTTTACAGAGATGCTGTATGAGAAACCAATGTGTGTTTGGAAAATTGCACAGTATAAATCTATTTTAGTATACCTCAACAATGGAATTATGATGAGTAGAAATGGCCATGACACCTCTCCTTTAAATGAATGCCTCCTAAGAAAACAAGTCAATGCAGATGAAAATGGTCAGTTTATCAGGCTTCTTGCACTCACGGTCATAATGATGGTGCCTTAATGGTGATGTCATAACGATGTCTGTGATGTATGATGTCACAGACCCTGTGGGGGGGGGGGGGTGGTTATCATGGATTCTCCACATTGCCTAACTCTGTGTAGTGTACTGTGGCGTACACTGTTATACTGCTATTGGTTTTCTTGTTGTCATAGTGATGGAGGCATGGTCAGCAGGGTCTCTGATGTATTGATCAGGCTGGTGGATGTTTTCACAATGAGTTCAGCTGCCACTGACTGTATCATTTTTCATAAATATTGAAATACAAATACATCCCGATGACAACAAATTAAGACAAACAGGTGCAGTACCATGGTAAAACCTTGACCAAAAATTCTAACGTAACCCTAACCTCTGACTGTGGGAATATGTTGAATGGCTAATGTAGAGAAAATCCAAGTAGAAAACCACACACATTTTGTTGAAATCAGATGTAATGCTCAGTTGGCCTTGTTCAAGACCATCCAATGTATTGTTTATAGATCATTGAAGAGCTTCATAGAGCGTGGAACAGAGCTTCATATACTGTGGCTCAGCTCTGGACCGCAGCCAGCTCTCTGAGGCTCTGTGCCACACAACCAGGACACACACATGCTCAGCAGCTCTCACCTCAGCACTGGGCTTTGCAAGTGACAACACTAACAACTGGTTAATGTTATGATGCACAATGTACAGTTGGTATTGGTTTTGTATAATATAGTGCTGGTGACCATTAACAATAGGTGTCCCAGAATGGACAGCAGGAAACATGGTTATATGTTCTAGTTTAGTTAAAGCAACACACATACTGTGACAGCCTCTGTAGGTGCAGCGCATGGTAACTAAGCAGCAGAGCAGGATCCTCAGGTTCATGTTGACAGGAGACATGGTAATATATGAGGCCCAGCGGCCCCCACTCAATCAGCTTTTAATGCTGACCTCAACAAATGCATGTGACTCAGCCCATGAGGCATCATATGTTAGCTATTTGGTATATTGTGTGTTGAAGAGGGGATAGTTGTACAACAGTGCCCAGAAGGCCAAAGTCAAAAAATATATATATATATATTTATATATATATATATATATATATATATATATATATTTGGTCTTTGGCCACATCAGATGTTTCTACCATTGTACACCAATAAAGCATGGAGCGAAAGGGAGAGAGAGAGAGAGGTGGACAGCAAATTAGATAAAGAGAGAGAGAGAGAGACTTAAATAAAGATAGAGCGTATATCACCCAGACTGAGGGGACTGAATAAGCTGAGTGTTGCAATTCTCAGCCGGAAGGCATGTGTGTGTGTGAGAGAGAGAGAGGAGGGGATAAAGAGAGAGAGGAGGAGGGTGAAACAGGTGGGGAAACAGGCAGAGAGAGAGGCATGCAGTCTAAAGGAGAGGACAGCGACGAGCGTCTTCCTTCCCCTCTCCATCGGCCCCCTCTCTGCTCCTCGCTCCATCTCCCCTCCACCCGTCCGTCCTAGCATCCCGTCTCTGTCGGTACATGCCTTATCCGGAGGAGGATGCTGAAGTTCCGTGTGGACAGGAGAGCCAGGTAGGTAAAGGACAAGGAAGGGACTGAAACGCAGGGCTGGAGTTAGGACAAGACGAGGTAGAGAGGGGAGGAGGAGGGGAGGATGATGGAGGAGTGGACAGTCAGGAGCTTTGAGGTCAGAGAGTACTGCAATGCAGTGCCAGGCAGGAAACACAGGAAACCATACGCTGTTATACTGTATAGAATACTGTGTGTGTGTGTGTGTGTGTGTGTGTGTGTGTGTGTGTGTGTGTGTGTGTGTGTGTGTGTGTGTGTGTGTGTGTGTGTGTGTGTGTGTGTGTGTGTGTGTGTGTGTGTGTGTGTGTGTGTGTGTGTGGAAACCATGTGACACAGTGTGTGTGTGTGTGTGTGTGTGGTGCAGTGCTCTGTTTGTGCCTGAGTGTCACGGGTCACAAACACTCAGTGTGTCAGATTACGTTGATGCAGTAATGGTGAAATAGATCAAATTAACCAGGTCTGAAAATATTTATCATACATGTTGGTTATTCAGTAAGATATAAAACCATGTGAATCATTTAGCTAAAGATTAGCATGAAGGACTAAGCTAGACAGTTTTTTTCCAAACAAGTGGCTGTGGGGTAGGTTGAGCCAGTGGTTCAGCCATGAGGCACTGGGGTGAGCAGGAGATCACATGATCCAGTAGGTCAGCTAAGGGTAACTGGTCTTGTGTAGCTAAAAACTGTATCTTGATAGAATGAATTCTACTCTATTTGGTCTGGATTGGTTCAATCATCAAGGCCCGCCACCATCTTTCCTGCCGTATGCCTGGCAGGAGTTATTTGACAATCTGGTTAAAGTGATAGACAGATGAGAGAATAACCACATTTGACAGCTTTCGTTCAGCTCACTTCGATAACTAACCATATTACTGCAGCTCGTCAGAAAGGAGTGTTCTGAAGCATAGACATGCTGTTTCTACCTCTGTTCATGTTTACACTGAATTATTATCATGAATACATATCTCTATAAATGTATTTAGTTATCTGATAGTGCTTGCTTCTAATGAGTGCCTTGAATATGAAATGTATTCTTTGACAGAACAGAACAGCCGGTGGAAGAGAGCTACATGGGAAAAATGTTCCTTTGAGTGACTGAGTTTGAGTAGAGGACACCTGGGAACCGCTTCAGTTGAACAGCCAAAGTAGCTGTGCAGTCGGCAATGGAAAGTCTAATTATTATAAGCAGACTCTAATTTTTATTTTCCTAAACGAGTACTTTTGTGAGATAAACCTCACCAAGTGCTTTTGTTGCATATAAAACCAAAAACTAAGCAAACCGTATTTGGACGTTTATTTTGAAAAGACTATATGCATGTGCAGCATAGCAGAGCCTAAAAGGTGATGGTGGTTCCGTCAGGGATCTAACAGCCTGTTTATCTCTAGCACAGAGTCTACCATTTCTTTGCTGGGGTGGCCAACCTGGGGCACAGAACTGTAAAATGACAGACCAGATCCAGACAGGGGCGTTGCTTGGATCTTGGAACATCGGGGGCTTAGCCCAACCTGACCATTTTACATTCAAAAGTATATACTGTATATATCAAGAGTATCCAATAATATGACGTGTGAACATGTTTTATGTGGGAGGTTCAAATCAAATCAAATCATGTTTTATTTATATAGCACATTTAAAAAGATTTTTGGTCGAGCCAAAGTGCTGTACATGCAATAAAAACACTTTACTACAATAGCAAACAGAAGACAATAATTTACAACAGCAAATATAAAGATAAAACACAGGGAAATGTCAGGAGTCATGCTCCGCTCTGACTAGAAGGCCAGAGAGAAGAAGTGAGTCTTTAGTGTAGATTTAAAAACCCCTAGGGTCTGGGCCGACCTCACATGGAGGGGCAGTGTTCCAGAGCCTGGGGCCAGCTGCTGCGAAGGCTCGGTGCCCTGATTTTGAGCCTGGTCTTGGGCACTACCAGCAGCAGCTGGTCAGCCGACCTTAAAGCTCTGGCTGGGGTGTAGCGATGGAGGAGTTCTGCTATATGAGCCGGAGCCAGCCCATTTAGGGCTTTGAAAACAAATAAAAGGAGTTTAAAATCAATTTGGAACCGAATTGGAAGCCAGTGCAGTGAGGCCAGAATTGGGGTGATGTGGTCACGCTTTTTGTGGCCAGTGAGAAGACGTGCAGCTGCGTTCTGGACTAGCTGAAGGCGTCTAATTGAGGCCTGGTCCATACCCACATACAGAGCGTTGCAGTAATCCAGCCTCGTGGTTACAAAGGCATTAATAACCCTTTCTAGGTCTTTAAAAGATAGAAATTACTAATAGTCGTATTTAAAAAAAGCAGGTCTTGACTACGGTGCTGACCTGCTTATCAAATTTAAAAGCACTAGTGAAGGTCACTCCAAGGTTCGTGACAGAGGGGAGGATGTTTTTATTGAGGGAGCCCAGAATATCAACGGGAGAGGCTGGAGGTTGGGGTCCAAAAAAGATGACCTCGGTCTTGCTCTCGTTGAGGTTAAGGACATTTTGGCTCAGCCAGGATTTGATCTCTGTCAAGCAGTCCATCAATAGCTGTAATGAGTTGACATTTGGATTGAGAGGCAGATAGATCTGTACATCATCAGCGTAACAATGGAAGGGAATATTGTGTTTTGTGAGAATTGAACCTAGGGGCAGTATGTACAGTAGAAAAAGGATGGGGCCCAGAATCGAGCCTTGGGGAACCCCACAGGTAAGAGGGGCTTTGGCAGAGGAGAAGGCACCTAGCTGCACTGAGAAGCTACGGTCTGTCAGGTAGGACCTGAACCATGCAAGGGCAGAGCCTGTGATGCCAGCGGACTGTTCAAGCCGTGACAACAGGATGCTATGGTCCACAGTGTCGAAGGCAGCTGTCAGGTCTAACAGCACCAAGACAGCTGGGCTACCTGAGTCGGCGGCTAGGAGCAGATCATTAAAAACTCTTAAAAGGGCTGTTTCAGTGCTGTGCATGGGTTTGAAGCCAGACTGAAACTTTTCATGGATGCCATGCGTGGTTAAGAAAGACTGCAGCTGGGCGTAAACTACTCGCTCCAGGACTTTAGATAAAAAAGGTAGCTGGGAGATGGGCCTAAAATTTGCGAGAATGGAAGGGTCGAGATTTTTCTTTTTAAGTAGTGGCTGCACCACGGCATGTTTGAAGGCAGCTGGGACACATCCTGAGGTAAGAGAGGTGTTTATTAGTAATAAAATACTTGCTCCAACTGATTTGAAAACATCTCTGAGAAGGCGAGAAGGAATGCTGTCTGAGGTGCAGTTCTGCATTGACCTCACATCCTCTAGGGCGGTCCGGGGTCATGCTCCCCCGGGAAAATATTGAAGATGCATCAACCTGTTGCACTTTGAGGGCAAAATTAGGAGACTAGGTCTATGGATTAGGGATGTGCATCTCCATCACTGAGGCCGATGCGATGCGCATCTCGATACGTTGCCAACGATACGATACATTAACGATACATTTGAAGCACCAGGCGATGCGATATGATACGATTCACCCCTGTTGCGATACAGTTCGATACGATTTGATTCAACATTATGCGATTCAGGGCGATACGATGCCATTCAACACGATGCAAAATAATGATACTTCAATATGGTACGACAGAGGATTTTTGTTTTATTCCTTATATTAAGCAAATCATAAATTAACAAAAAAGTGCTTTACATATTTGGTTCTCTCTACTAGTACTGCACAATCCCATTATGCTGTTTCTTTTTTACCTTTTTTACCTTAAAAAAACTCTCCAGAGTACAGTACAATTGTATAACACCTCACAGTTTAACAATTTAAGGATGCATTGCCCAGGATTAACAATGTGCACATAGACAATGATGCAATGCCCATACAACTGCCAGCCTGATGTGCTTAACACTCATCCATAGGCTAACTCACCAGTGAGCAGAAAGCAGTGGTTTCTATATGAACAATAAAGAATACAAATAACCTTTCACAAACAGGTATTTCATAACTGCTTAGGAAGACATTTAAACTATTATTGGCTGTCACAGGCTGTTGTAAAGTAAACACCACTCTCATAACACCTCACTGAGTGATTGAACTCATATGTCTAACTTTCAGGTTTCTCTTTTCAGCCGCAGACCCCATGTCGCCTCTTTATGTGCGTCGCTAAGTTCCGCGTACTACTTGTGTACTTTAAAGCGGCACGGCATCGTTTACAATTTGCTAGCGATTTTTCAAGTTGACCGTCTTTCTTGAAAAATGTGTTGCCAAACGTTTGATTTGTAGGTATTTTTCGGTGCGCTGTGTTTCTCTTTCTCCTCGACTTCCATGTGTGTTGATGACTGAGACTCTCGGCCTCCGTAGTGCGAAGCAAAGATCAAAGATCGTCTCTGCTGAGTGCTGACAAGATGAGGATATTATGTGAATGAATCGTTTTTTTACCGATGCAAAGACGCTACAATCGATTCATCGCGAGTTCAACCCAACCTGTAGCCGATGTGCACTCTTTCAACCGGTGCACTCGCATCTTGAACGTTTATGCCGGTGCACCGATGCGAATCGGTGAATCTTAACATCCCTACTATGGATACATCTCTCAACACTCATATAAAACAGAACTGTATATATTTCAACAATCGAAAAATCCGTAGAATATTGCCACAACCAAAAACAACCTCTCCCTCTCCTCCTCTCACTCTCCCTCTCATCTCCTCTCCACTCCTCTCCCTCTCCCTCCTCTCCTCTCTCTCCCTCCTTCCTATCCTCTCCTCTCTCCCTCCTTACTAATCACTACCGTTTTAAAACTGTATTTTTGGTTTACTGTCCTATAGTTTTTCATACCTGTTATTTATTCTGTTATTTTTTATAACTATAACAATTATATAAAGGTGTGCCTTGGAAATATTTGTTTACCCAAATGATGATCAAACTGATTGAGACAAGTTAACTGTCTAAACCCTCAGAGTCCTTTACCTCAAAAGTTGAACTTTTCTCAACTTTCGAAGCGAGCAACGGAGGCAAATCGACGCGACGAAACCACAATGCAGTTCGGC